ATCCAGTCCTTGAAGCCAATTCAAGTGGGTATTATCTGAAAGTGTGGCTGTTCTGCAAAGTCAACCACTCCCCTCCAGGTTCATCCATGTTGTGAGGTACTTAGTAGATTTGTTATTCTTTACATTGCATAGTATTCCATACTCCATTATGTGCATGTACCAAAGTTTAACCAGTCTGTTGTTGGGCATTTAGGCTGTCTCCATCTTTTTGGTGTGTCTCTTGTAAACTGCATATTTTAAGTATCCTGTTTTCTTCTCCATTCTCCTGTTTCTTGACTGGTTCATTTAAGCTGTTTACACTCAGTGTAATTATCTATAGGTATGAATTGATTGTTGTCATTTTACTGTGTGATTTTTTTGTGGTGATGCTGCTTTCTTTATTCCACATTGTTTTCTGCTCTAAATTCATTTTGTTTGTGGGTTTTCTTTGCATTTTCATTTCTGTTGTGTTAATGTTTATCAAACTTTTCAATTTTCCTTTTTTTAAATTTTTGATGTGACAGTGTATTCATTTTCTTTGAATTTACTCTATAATTTATTAATTTCTTTCCCTGTTTAAAACAGCCAGTTTTATCTTGAAATCACTGGACTTCCTTTTCACTGGGAAGTTCTGTATCTATGCTATTCCCTCTTACTGATTTGTCATTGACTTCATTATAAATTGTTATCAGTTATTCCCTATTTTCAGTTTCAAGCTCATAGGTTGGTTTTACTTCAGAGACTTTTATATCTGCATTGAGTTCTGAGTGGTGTTTTCATATATGGTAATTTCAGGTTGTTGTCTCTTGTTGGTTCTCAGTCAAAAGAACACCTTTTAGCATTTTTTGTAACGTTGATCTGGTCATTACAGATTCCTTCAACTTCTGTTGATCAGGAAGTATCCTAATTTCATCATCATATCTGAGGGGCAGCTTTGCTGGGTATATGATTCTTAGTTGACAATTTTTTTCTTTCAGAGTTTTGTTTATGTAATCTCACTGCCTTCTTGCCTACATGGTTTCTGCTGTAAAATAAGAGCTCAGTCTTAATTGCTTCTCCTTTGTAGCTAAGCTTTTCATTTTTCTCAAGTTGCTCTCAGGATTCTTTCCTTGTCTTTAATTTTGGAGCGTTTGATTATGATATGTCTTGGTGATTTTCCAACAAATTTTCTGAAGCTCCGAGGGGACAATTACGGAAACTTTCTAGACACAGCCAAATACTGAGAGGGACTGAGTAACTGGGCTTGAAGGCTAAGACCCATAGTCTTTTAGTTCAATTGGCATTACATCATTCATAAAGATAATGTTCTACAACTTAATAGTTTGGTGAGTATTGTCTGGGGTCTTTTAAAAGCTTACAGAAATCTAAGTTACAACTATTGGTCTCTTCCCATTTGGACTAAAGGCAAATAAAGAAATCAGAAGACTTAAGGAAATAGTCTAAAGGACTAATAGCTTATATGAACCATAGCTTTCTCTGTTCTGAGACAAGATCTAGATGATGCCTGATTGCCACCACTGTCAACTGCTCTGGGTGAAAAATGTAAAACAAAACTCAAATTCATAAAAATACAAGAATTACTGCTCTGATAGAAACTGGAGGAACACTAGAGACTATTGCCCTAAAACTAGCTTCTAACTTGGAACTTAAGCCACCTTTCATCTATTTAACAGATTGGGACTTCAGGTGTGGTGCTGTAGTATAAGCACGGGACTGCAAACCACAAGGTGGCAGTTCAAACCCACCAGTTGCTCCTTGAAAACCCTATATAAGATCACTGTGAATGGGAACCAACTTGACAGCACTTAACAACAACAACAAGATAAACAGTAACACCTGGCAGGAACAGACTCCTTGGAACAATCAACTATGAGACCAAAAGGCAACATCTGCCCCAAAGCAATAATAAGAAGGTAGCAAGGAGCAGAGGAATAAAACACATGAAAACAAGGAACCCAGGGTAGAAATGGGGAGAATGCTGACACACAACAGGGACTGAAACCAATGGCATGGAACATTCTGGGTTCATACTGTTGAACTGTAAACTGAATTGCTCTGTAAACTTTTACCTAAAGCACAATAAAATGTTCCCAAAAAAGATCAACCATCTGCGTCACCCTAGGAAAGTCACAACGTAGATACACAGTTACTTTAAATGTTGTAACCATTTTATTCCACTGCACTACTAAAAGTAAGTTTTCCAACTTCACCCATCATCTTCCATCTTATACTTCAGCAGAGCATTCTATAAGCAGCAAAGCCTCAAATATTAATTGATCGAGAAAAGTGTCCTCAATTATGTTATTTTACATAAATCACTATTATAAGCAATAGAGGTTGCGATATTTTCAGATTTATGAACCACTTTAAAAATATTCAGATGGTATAACATGTTGTGGCACTGTGGGTTAATGCGCCAGACTGCAAAGCCATCTGAACCGCAAAGTTGGTGGTTCAAGCTCACCGGCTACTCCTCAGAAACCCTATACAGGGTCGTTATGGGTTGGAACCGACTTGACAGTACTTAAAAACAACAACATGTTAGTAACAGTTTAAACATCATAAGACCTTTTTATACTCCCAAAATCAGCTAAACAAGAATACCTGTGAATGGGTTTGCTTTACCATCTTCAGGTCTTCGGTTAAATTATCACATATCTTCTGTGATTCAGCTAAGGAAGAAATTGTACTTTCTTGTAGTTTGTGTAGATTACTACATAGTGTACTGAGAAAGACATCCATTTCTTTTCTCTGATCTTCAATCTTTGAAGAAGAAAAAATTCATGTTTTTCTAAAGCAACTCAATTTTAAGATATTAAAAAACAGAACCTTAATATCTTATCAGCCCCTTAATAGGTTATTACCTTGTTAGCCACTGTCAATGAAGTCTTGAAAATCTGCTTTATTTGACTGTTGATTGTCAGTATAGACACCACAGGGGATAAAATCGTTTCCCAAGAATTTAGAAGGTCAGTCTTAAGTACATTCTGGTTTTAAAAATAAACAAATCTTTTAAAAAAGAGCATTTTCACTTTCTTAAGTTTGGATGATTAATATCTTAACTAGGCTGATAACTAAACACAGGCATAATTCTCTCTACTCCCTCTCTATTCTTTATAACCTAGAGAGATATATCCATTACCAGAATTCATATTCAAAATAGGAATTAAGAAAAGGATCACCTAGATAAATTCTTAACAGTCTAATAAAACAGAAGGGAAGACAACAAAAAAATGGTAAGATCTCAGTATGTCAAACAAAAGGAAAATTTCCCCAAAGTCCCATAAATGCTTTTATTCCCCCCATAAATGCATTTTGACAAAATAAATTTCCAACAAATTTAAGTTTGTAGTCAAAAAGGCAAAGAACAAATAACCTACAAGAATAGACTCTGAGTGAGAGACAGTTCACTTTGAAGAAGGGACTTATATTCTATTGTGTTTAAGACAGACTTATCAAAGTTATCACCACAAAACCTCAAGTAAACATTTTATAGAAAATAGGGAAAATTGAGCATATACCTGAAAATGGAAAACTTTGGTAAAGAGGACAGAACCTAGCATGGCTTCCTTCTCTACGGTCCAAGCTCTACCATAAATAAATAAATAAATAGCTACAGAGAAGGTTAGTGCTACACTTTTAGAACAAAATAGCATCAACTAATTTCAGCTAATTCCGTAAAGAGGACAGTCATCTCTTTTCTTAACTCTAACAATCTTTTAACTTGGTATGAAGAGTTATTAGACAAATATCTTTGAATTTGAGTATAGCAATCTATCAAATACAGATTCCAGGCAGTGTCATTTAAACATTTGCAACACTGAGCAATGTTTATCAAATACTGCCAAACTCAAAAAGGGAGGCAGACAGCCTGCACAAAGATGAAAACAAAGTGAGTGATATGGTCAAGACAAACCATACAATTACAAATTAGAGAAAAGATACATGCAAATCACATGCTAAAGAGATATTGTGTATTTAGGTAAGTGACATCTATAGAACTGGAGAACAGCTTGTGGTTAGAGACCAGAAGGGTTTGGCCATTAGATCTGACCCTATAATGTAGCCTGTCATTAGACTCATTGTCACTGAGTAGATTCTGACTAGAGCAAACCTGCATAGGGTTTCTGAAGCCATAAATCTTAACAGAAGAAAGCTTCATCTTTCTTCCCTGAAGTGGTTGGTGAATTTGAACTGCCAAGCTCATGGTTAGCAGTCCAGGGTTTATCCTATAGTGCAAACTGGGATCACTATAGTATGACCTAGAGTTGCCTATTGCATATATTCCTAGATAATGGAAACTCACTGCCATCAAATCAGTTCTTACTCATAGTGATCCGATACTGGGTTTTTGAGACGAAACTTCACAGGAGCAGACAGCCTCATCTTCCTCCCTCAGAGCAGCTGGTGGGTTTCAACCACTGAGGTTACAGTTAGCAACCCAGCACCCCTAGCCCACAGGGCCACCAGGGGGTGGAAAGACCAAGGAGGATGCATTCTTAGGATTATTATAGTTTTCTGAATCACTGTATGTTTAAAACTACTCAGTATACAGAGTCCTGGGGTGGTGTAGTAAGATAAAGCACTGGACTGCAAGGCCAGCTTGAACTGCAAGGTCAGCAGTTCGAACTCACCAGTCACTCCTTAGAAACCCTATACAGGGTTGCTATGTATGAGTCAGAACTTACTCTATGGCATTTAACAACTCAATATTTAGGTCAGTGTATCATCAGCACGACTATTGCAGGTAGATATCTGTAAGGCCCATGGGGAAAGGGTCAATAATTTCTGAGCTGACAAGTCATGGGACCCTTGAATTCATTTGGACTGATCATTAGGTACAGTCTCATCGGTTCTGACACATAGCGACCCTATGCATAACAGAACGAAAAATTGCCCAGTCCTGTGCCATGCTCACAATTGTTACTCTGTTTGAGCTCAGTGCTGCTGCCACTGTGCCAATCCATCTCGTTGGATTTCTTTCTCTTTTTCGCTGACCCTCCACCTTACCAAGCATGATAACCTTCTTCAGAGACCAGTCACATATCTGAAGTATGAGAGACAAAGTCTCGCCAACCTGGCTGTACTTCTTCCATTTGGAGTTAACCCTGCCTTTTTTAATCTTTGTTGTTGTTATGTGCTGTCGAATCAGTTCTGATTCACAGTGACCCTGTATAGGGTTTCTAAGGAGCGGCTGGAAGGTTTGAACAGCTGACCTTGTTTACAGTCTTTAGAAGACCTAATAATACTTCCTTCTCACAGTGTTATATGAGCAAAAAAGTTCCAAAGGCCAGTTATATGCAATTGGATATTAACATTTGTAGGAAAAACAAAAGCCACACAGTAGAGAGATTTGTCCTTAGAACTCTTTTCTAATCCCTATGCCTAGTAAAGCTTAAGATGAAAAAATAGCATCTAGCATTGTTCATGAATACTTATTAGATGTAATCTTCAAGAACATTTCAAGAGAATTACTAACAATCAATTCCTGAAGCACAGTTTTACTCTCAGCCGTTAATGACTGTTCTTTCAACATCATATTGGAAATCTGAGAAACACGAGTAGACACATTTTCTGGAATTGATGTAAGCGATCCAAGAGCTGTTGTCGTAATGGTGTCTAATGCAGAAACACTGGAAGACAACAGATTATCTACAACAAAAAACAAAAACAAAAAAGAGATAGGATCTTTGAAAAACGTATTTTAAAATGGATAGAACCACTTCAAAAAGGTTGGCAAAAAGATACCCTTGAGAGATTTAAAATATCAAATTAAGCTTAAAATAATTGGTTCACTATATAAGCAAGGGAATTTCTTAAATAGTGGCACCCTAGGATCAGCACTGGACTGCTAACTGCAAGATTGGCAGTTTAAACCTACCAGCTGCTCCTTAGAAACCCTGTATAGGATCGCTGAGTCAGAATAAACTTGGTGTCACCTAACAACAACAACAGTAATATTCTGTAAGCATTTGATATAGCTGAAAGATTATCTGACTCCTAAAAACATAATAAGCTAAAATTAGAATATTTAAAAATTTATCTCATAAAAGTAACACTCAGTATTATGCTGTGGTTATTAAGCATTGTCAAATTGATTTCAACTCATAGCACTGACCCTGTATAGAGGTTCCAAGGAGCAGCTGGTAGGTTTGAACCATCAGACCTTTTGGCTAGCAGTTCAGTGCTTATGCTATAGCACCATGTTGTTGTTAAGTGCTGTCGAGTTGTTTCCGACCCATAGCAACCCTGTACAGGGCTTGTTATGTGCCATGGAGTCGATTCCGACTCATAGCCACCCTGTACAGGGTTTCCGAGGCTATAATTCTTTACGGGAGCAGAAAGCCTCATCTTTCTCCCGCGGAACAGCTGGTAGTTTCCAACTGCTGACCTTGTGGTTCACAGTCCAATTCGTAACCACTACGCTACTCCTTAGAGAAGTAAAAAGAAAGTACACAAAATTTAGCCTCTGAATTATTTTAAAATTTTTTCATTCAGTATCTTCCCAATTTTCTATAATGAGTGTAATACTTTCATATTAAACAAACTTAATATTTTAGAGTTTTCACTCTAAATGAAGAACATAGAAGGGTTAAAAACAATATATACATTTATGACAAAATATAGAAAATTTCAAGATACACAGATGCAGAAAAATGCGTATGCATAAAAAATTTCTAGAAGGAAACCCAAGAAGTGTCAGTAACAGTAATGTCTATGGGGAATCATCCAAGGTCAGAGATAAGAGTTTTACTTCTAAGTTTATATACTTAGCTGCTGTTTCATTAGCATAACTCAACATAAAACAACAAGAAAGATTGACTTAATTCAGAGGCAGTAAAAGCATCAACACTTGTTGATGTTAAGTGCTATTGAGTCGATTGGGACATATATCAACCCTATATAGGGTTTGCAAGGAGCAGCTGGTGAGCTTGAACCACCGACCTTGCAGTTCAAATGGCTTTGCACTCTGACACATTAGCCCACAGCACCATACCAGGACAAATGGTATGTACACTGTGAAGGGGCTATGACAGTATCACATAAGTTTTGGACAATTATTAAATTATCAATTTTGAAATTAGTCACACACTAAATATGTTGTTGCTGTTAAGTCTAACTCATAGAGAACCTATATAAGATTTTCTAGGAGCAGCTGGTAGGTTTGAATTGCTGACCTCGTGGCTAGTAGCCCTGTGCTTATCCTACAGCGCCACACACTAATATACAAAGAATAAAATTGTTAGCAATGTTTGACCTTACCAAACAATGTCTTGTGAACTTCAAGCATGGTCTTTTGTTTTGAGCTGCCGTCTTTAATTAATTCTTCCATATTATTAAACAGACAATTAAGATTTTTGCCAAAATCACTCTGAGCTTTTGCATTGTGTTGATCAATTGTCTTCTTGCGATCCAGTTTGGAATGGAGACCTGATACATCTTTTGTTGTTTCTTCAACTGTGTTAAGCAGCTATGTATGATGTTTAAAAATAAATATAGAAAAGATACGATAAAAGTAATCTGATGAAAGTACTTGTACTATATAAGGATTTCTCCTTAGAAAATTAGTAAAGTTTTAGACATTATATAAGAAATTTTTATTCTCACATTAATTCCTCCAGTTGTCCAGGAATGCCTATCCCCCTTCCCCTAGCAATCTAGGCAGGTATTTGATGTGCTCATATAGTAGTTATGCTTCCCACAAATTCTTATCCTTTTGTTTTACTGTTTTCTAAAAGGCACACTAGTAAATAGTTTTAACATTTTCCATCAGTGCCACCATATACCAAATCCATAGTTAGTGAGTTGATTCTGATTCTTAGTGACCCCTATATATGGTTTCTGAGACCATAATCTCTATGGGAGGAGATGGCCTCATCTTTCTCCCAAGAAGTGACTGGTGGATTTAAACTGCCAACCTTGCAGCTTGTAGTCCAATACCTAACCCACAGTGCTACCAGGGGCCCTTTTTCCATCATTGTTGTTGTTAAGTGTTGTCAAGTTGATTCTGACCCACAGCGATCCTTAATAGGGTTTCCAAGGAGCAAGCACTGGTGGTGGTTATGTGCCGTGGAGTCAGTTCCGACTCATAGTGATCCTGTACAGGGTTTCTGAGGCTGTAAATCTTTACAGGAGCAGAAAACCTCATCTTTCT